CCATGACCTCCTTGAACCTTTCAGTTGGAATCAATGGAGGCAAAACAGCCTTGGTACAAATTAGTGCCATATCCACTCTCTCAGACGACCTTCTTGTTATTTTCTTCTTTGAAGATGATGCCATAGAATGATTATCTTATAACACTAACGCAAAATAATGCAAGGTTCTCACCTACAAATATCACAAAAGGACACATAAATGCGGATGAAAGTACTCTCGCAACAGAAACAATGATCGGAGAGCTTTGAAATGAAATTTTCAAAGGGTTTGAGAAATTTTTTGTAAAGTAAAAAAGGTAAGAGATGATTGTTTTCCTCTATCTATAGGCAGCATGAGTAGAACACCACCATTGGATTGACCCAGATTTAATCCTGGTGGAACATCTATATCACCATCAAACATGTTAAACTCAAAGGGCACCTATGAGAAGTTCAAATCAAAGGCTCTAATGGATTCGTGAATTACCTGCACTAAGGGCTCGAATGATCTCTTCCAACTATAACAAACATCATCATTGTGCAGTAAATACGCAAGCATTGGGAACCACCAAGCCACACCGCTACCACACTTCAGGAACCAGTATTTCTTTCAAATCATTAAGCACACACCTCCACAAGCCTCAGTGGCTCAACAAACTCGTTCTTTCTAGCAAGGGCCTTGCCTAACTTCTTAAATCTTCCCTGAGTGAGCTCTCCCATAGACAAAGGACCTCGACCAAATTCAATTCAGTCTTATCAACAACTGTCTCTTCATTAATGGGCTCTCCTTATGCAAAGGGCCTAGACTATGTCCAATTCAACCTTATTAACAACTGTCTCTTCATTAATGGGCTCTCCTTATGCAAAGGGTCTTGACTAAGTCCAATTCAGCTTCATCAATGACTACTTCTTCATTAATGAGCTCTCTCTTATACAAAGGGTCTTGTCCAAGTCCAATCCAACCTTATCACAGACTTCATCTTCTCCAAAAAGCTTGCCTGATTGTAAATGGTTCACCTTAACTCAAGTTCACAAACTGCTTCAAAATCCACTTATATTGTACATTCTAAGTCCACACATTATATTAATATTCATACATGGATTTGGTGGACTATTGTTATGCATCTTCCAACAAGGCTCTAAGCATTGTCAAATGGTGGCCACACAACAAAAGAACCTAGACACACACTCCACATCATTTTGCACATGAGCAATTGGCCGAACCCCATGGGAGCCAAACCCTCATGGATGAAGCGAGCCAGGTAGAGGCATCTTAGGGAGACTTTCGTATAAGATCTTGTAACAAGTGGGTGATGTGACAACTCACTGAATAGGCAGTTCTACTCAATCATCAAGTCAATCCTAGTCTTACATGTTAGGCCTTGGGCTGCAAATGACCATAATATTAAATACACTTAAATCTGGCTGACTGATGCCTATGATAAAAGGCCCCAGCCACTAGGATGAGGCCACGTATCTCTTCATCCAGTGATTCTTACTCAAGCTCTTCTACTATAAAAGCTCATATTTGATGTCACTCCAGAGGTAATACAAGTTTAGACTCTCAAACTATAACTTTGTTATATATCTATTTTACTCTTTATTCCCCAAAATCGACCCTCTTTTTACAGTGAAGGCTCACATCTAAAGTTCTATTCTCTTATATCTACTTTTCCAACTGACTTAATCGTCGAAAGACGCGCCCAACTTGATCCCACCAAAGGGGGCCACATGTAGTTTACGGTTTGTCCAAGTGTTCACAAATACGATTTTCGTAGACATGAGGGGTATTGGGATCTATTAGTCACGTTGAAGGTACAATTTTTTAAGTCAACAAACATAATATTCATTTTTACCATGACGATTCTTTGGGAAGTCAAATTGACGGTTTTGGCTAATTTATCCATTGACTAGATGGTGAAATGGCGATGAAATGGTTCTTGCCGATATTTCAGCTTTAAGATTTAATTACAAGACGAAGAAAAAATCTAAATCAAATGTTTTGATATATAGTCTATGTTTGATAGAGATTATTTAAAACTCATTTTGTCCAACTCGTTTTTAATCTATTTTGAAAAAATCTAAATCAAAGAGGTCCCATATAGTGGCCACCTGACACGATAATTTTTTTCATTATCACTAATCAAAACTGTTACTAATAATTATAAAACCAATAGCTAAATTACTTAAAAATTATTAATGATATTTTTTTATCAGATGTCATGGTCAAGAAACTATTTATTCGATGAACAAAGCACTAATAGGTCGGATTAGGGCTGGGCAAATCTCCCGAACCGAACCGACCGAACCGAACCCGAACCGAACCGATCCGAACCCGACGGTTCTTGTCAAATTAAATACCCGAACGGGTATCTGAATTGAGAACCGACGGGTACGGTTCGGTTCTCGGTTCTAGACCAAGAACCGAATAAGAACCGAATCTTTCTAATTTTTTTTTTTATATTGAGTAAATCAAATTATTTTAATTTTAATTTTTTCTAAACAAATTAACAAATTAATGATTTCTAAATCCAAATTTTTGGCCCAATAATTTGTTTCATTTCTAATTTTTTAATTTTTGGCCATTACCCATTTTATTGTTTCATTTCTTAGCCAAACAAATCAAATCTACTAAATAACCCTAAGCACCTACAATAAAGTGCATAACGTTGTCTCGACTCTCGCACTCACTCTCGCAGCCTATCTAATATTCCAAAACCTATACAATCGTCGGCCGACACTCTGACCTCCGATCGAAGCCGTGACTTTCCCCGACTGAAGCTTTGATCGTAGCGATCATTTGAACAAGATAGTTTACTAATCTCTGACATTCCAAAACTATTGAATGTATCATTAGTCGTATTTATATAACGTTGTTATAAATGTTAAAAAATTTAATTATAGTACAGAACCGAACGGAACCGAACCGATCCGAACCGAACCGAATGGAACCGAACCCGAACGGTTCCATAATTATATTTGGACCCGACGGTTCCATTTACTAGATACCCGAAAAGTTTGGTTCGATTCGGTTCTAAAGAGAACCGAACCGAACCGACCCGCGCCCATCCCTAGGTCGGATGCACAACCTTTAAATTAATGGGAAACAATTACAATTATTTTCCAAATCTTGGCTTGAAAAATATTCTAATCTCTCAATACTGATAGACCCTTCTTTGCCAATGTTCTCGTATGGTACAACTTGAGCCATGCGCAAGATATTGCATTCATTTACAATAGGAATAGTGGGATTGATTATTGCATTTTTTAGGGCACATTCACTTTGTCACCTAATTGAATTAATTTTGAAAAGTCAGAACTGTTTGCAAATAAATAGTTTCATAATTCAACTTGTTTTGATTAATCCATTATGGGTTTTAAAAAATTTCGTCAAAACAACATCCCCGAATCAAAAGCAAGACAATGAATAATATTTTGTGCTGATGCAAAGTTCAAAGTAATTCTCAATGCCAAACATTTCAATAGTATTTTCAACCACTTTGATTATAATAGGCCAACAAGTTCGTTGTCATGACATGAAATCTAGGTCGTTGACTCTATTAAACCCATGTTGGTTGTTATGGCTTTTAACATGGGCACCACGTTTCCCCATGCCAAGAATAAGGCTGAATGTACAGGAAATCTTAGGGAGACAACTCTGAAAAATTTCCGCTTAAGTGTAGCACTTCTCCCATGCCAATGCCTTGGACCATCGTACTTGTGCTAAGTTTGCGTTTGGTACAGGTACAAGAAGATAGTGATGACGTTGCACGAATTTGAGCGTGATTGGTACATCCTGTAAGGGAGAGTGGACATAGCAGGGATGTGCAAGAGGTGTATATCCTGTCAAACTAGAAGCCATGCAAGACTGATTTACTTGATGATAGCAGAACATGGACAGAAGGACCGAGCTATTGTGCCAGGCTCATTCTGCCAGGCCTTTTACAGGCTGTGACTCAAAACATGGGGGTGGGGCCAGTGGGCATATTTTTGGGCATTATTTTACTGAGCTGGGACCCACCTCTTCACTCACCTGTAAAACACCTGGTAGAGGGTCAACCTGGTAGAAGAGATTAATCTTGGACAGAATTGCCTCAGCGGTACGGGAAGTACGTCTGTAAGTTTAGATTTAGACAAGGCATGGATGGATTCTAACTTGCTACCTAGGACGAAGAACATCTCCAATGATAGTGTAAAATTAAGTATAATTTGATATTTCTTAAACCACTCTTGCATTCTCATTTACATCTTGATAGATCTAAATTCAAATTCTACTCCAATGGAAGGATCAAATTATCCAAATCCACTTTTTGTCTCTTGTATATATAAAAAAGGATAAAAATTTACATTTATTTCTTTATTTTTTTTAATAAAAAATGTAATTTGGACCTCCTTTGCACCTTTCTATTGGAGAGATTTTTGACTACTTTGGAGATCTAAATCTATATTTTACACCACCACAAGAGATGATCTAACTTTAGTATACATTTTGTGGACAAAAGAAGGCACGTGACGTAGTAGTTACTTCAATAGGGCACAAATATTTAAATTTTATATTTTTAGATGCTTTTTCAGACCTATCTCTGAGAGTTGTTTCCTGAATCCAAAAAAGAGTATTTGTGTTCTCCCAATAACTAAAAAGTGTGACTCTTTGAGAATAAATCAGAATTCTGGTGAAAAATGGTCGGATATATAAAGATTTTGACCATTATTTTCATATCCGTGGTAGTGCGAAAAGTCACTTTAATTATGAAATAGTTTGGCTTAATGGTAATCTAAAGAATAAGCAATTACATAATGGCCGAGGGTGTCAATTGCATGCGAAATTTTGTATAAAAATGGCTAAATGTCGAGCCACAAATATCCTTCACATATCCCGGTTTTCCCTTATATTGTTGAGTAGTAAAGGATGGTAAAGAGTTCCATTCAGCCTCTATATTTCTATATTTATATGTATATTGTCAATATCAGATCAAACAGTGACATCTTTCTTTCATCTGTCTTCTAAATTCATCCGTCGATGACAAACAACTCTTGAACAATTCTTGTACCGAATCCCAGACAGCAATATGAGGAAGAAATCTTGTTTTCATATCTAATCGTCTCATCAACCGCTCTTAAATTATTGTACATGAGTTTACATGACATTATAATATATCAAGTACTAAAGCAGAAAAATTTCTCACCGCGAGTTGAACAAAACTAAAATAACTGAAACAAGTACCGAATTTTAAGTGTCAAGTCAGTCGTAGGAAGATTGATCGTGGTATGAAATAGAATTTTCAGAGTCATCCCGGGAGGTGGTACACTAACCAATTGAACTCCTCAGCTGAGTTCGGAGTCCATGACTAATCCTACTGGTGGATCATGTTGAACTGAAACCTGGATAGCTGCTGTGGAATAGTGGATATGACTGGTCCATATCTCTGCCAATAACCAAAGACGGTGGGTTCCGTAAGAATAATGTTGTTATTAAGCTAGGCCGATACTTTACAGGAGAATTGAAATCAAACAAATTAAAGCACAAAAAGTAAACTTAGGAAATTGCAAGAAATTGCAATCATAAAATACTTCCTATGCATATCCATGCATGGAGAACTAATTAGACACCACGCCGCAAAAAGCTTCAAAATAAAAGCTCTCTTCAAACCTGAACATTGTCGTATAGTTCAAACAATGGGACAGCTAGAAGTTTCAAGTTCTTAGGCACAGCAAAGTACTCTCTTTCAGACAAGTGAACAAGGAAAAGCTTCTTGCACTCCTATGTCAAAAAAATTTTAGCGGTAAGCACTGTTTCATGTCAAATGAGAATATGACACGAGGTAGCATGTGATAATATGTTTTGGTGATCTTACCTTAGGCTTTGTTATGTGTGGAGGGCAGTAAGGATACATTGTGGTTTCAAAATTCGGTCTCCACCAGATAGCCACACACTCACCTATCTGCAGTGAATATCAGATATTTCATGATAAGCATCTGAGAAGGGATGACCGACTAAAACTATATTTATCATCGAAGGTCAAAAAACCTGATACATTTCAAAGATCATGATTGCCCAAACATATAGCAAATAAAGTGATCTAAAACAGCATTCAGCCTCATTTTCTTAAATTGCATACATCCAAGTATAACACTGAACTCCAGAATATCGATCCCATATGACATTTAGTTGCACATGCCTTGTCCACACATTTATCTCAATAAATTCCAAAGCATATCCAACTACAGTTCCACTTTCACAATCCATTCCAGAGAAAATATCTACCTTCGACTTATAGTTATTACTTAAGTAGTACCTGCCAATCTGGCTGCAGAGATGAATTAGCAGCAAGTTTGCTAGAGAGCTTCCTTTTCAAGCCTTCAATCTCTGTGAAGTTGTTCAGAGGAGAAAAAAACAAAGATGGATTACATTAAGCAAAGTCGAGATAAGTAGAAACAGAAGTAACAGTAGCATAGTTAAGAATTTTTTATTTTTTCCTGTTCAGTAAGCAAGTAGAAAAATAAATCCGTGATGACCAGTAAAGAGGGAATATAGCACCACACCATTCTCTCCTGGCTTCAATCTGCCACCGGGGAGTTTACAGAAAGTATTTCCAATTTGCAAAAGAAGAATGTGGGGATGATTATGTTCTTGAACCTGTAAGTTTGAACAACATATCCAATCATTCAAAATAAATATTGCAAAATTACTGGCCACAAACATTAAACGTGGACAAGATAACGACCAAGAGTGTAAATGGTTTTAGAGAGCATATAAAAGTTTCATACATTTCATGTAGCATCAAACTGCACGCCAGATAGGATTCCAGAATGAATTTTAAATATGCCAGTTCAGTGATCTTGAGGGAAAAAAAATTTACAAATGGCCCATATAAGAGAACTGCTCTTATCAGATTGTATCACACTTCACAGTATGGGCATCACCTTAGACTAACTAGGCCAGTCTCTCCTACAAACCACACTCTCTACTTTACTATGCATTCGTAAGTAACAGTAACCACAATCAATTCTTGAACAGATTATATCACACTTCACAGTATGGGCATGACTGTAGACTAACTAGAATAATAGGGGATATTTCAGTCCGTCTCTTAATTTGTAATATTTATGAACAAGATGGAAACAGAAAATTTACACCAGGTCGAGTAAGGATTGATAAAATAGATGACTTCAAATAAAAGATTGTTTGTTCACATTTATATTTCCATACTATACACAATCCAAATTCATAATGGCTTTCCATATGGTAATGGAGTATAAATCCACTCGACTAGAAAAACAAAGACGATTTGTATTTATCTTCTCAAACAGATAGAAAATAACCAAATCTGCTATGCCTTTCACATATAGTAATTGGGGCATAGGTCCACTCAATAAGAAAAGGAAAGCCAACCATGCAAAAAAAGGACTTGCCACTGGATTTCAGATCAAATCATCACAGTTTGAGCATTGTGTTTTTTGTGTATAACTAAAAAGACACTTATGAGAGTAATCCACATAAATAACACATTACATTCACAACTATCAGAGCATTTTGAACCAGTGCATATTGGGATAAGAAGACCCAAAGGTCTAAACACCTCAGACATACAAGAAATGAAATGTTACATACAATTCAAGCTGACAGATCAAACCAAACAATATTTGGAGGAACAAAAAATTAAATCAAGAAGAAGAAACAGATGCACTTAAAAATAGAATTAAGATTGGCAGCGTCCAAGTAGAACCCAAAAGTTTAAAAGTTCCTCGTTGTTCATCCCTTGTTTCCAATTCCAAGCAAGCGAAGGCTTTCATACGAGATCCTGGTGCCCAGTTACCACAACTGCGAGTAAATTGTTCCAATGGTCACTGAACTTAGGTCATGTCTTTGATTGATCAATGAAGTTTTAAATGTCGAGTTTTGGTCACTGAACTTAGGTTCATGTCTTCGATTGCTTACTGAAATTTAAAATGTCGAGTTTTGACCACTGAATTTTGAAAAATGATGTACATTGCTTATTGTAAACTCAATATTTTTCAAAATTTAACATTTATGCTATGAGTCACGTATAACATTTTTTAAAGTTTAGTGACCAAAACTCGATATTTTAAACTTTAGTGAGCAATCGAAGACATGGATCTAAATTCAATGACCATTGAAACAATTAATTTCCAAAATTGTTATTATTAACTTTTGTTAGTGACTCGTTCGCCTACATCAATGAAGTATTGTTATTAGACAATATTTGTTATGGGGATGGAAATTGATATTTGTGCATTGATATTAGGGTAATTATATTCAATTCACAATTTTTATTTCTTGCAAGACATTTTATTTACATTTAAGGTTCTTAGTTTTTGTTTCTGTAGAATTTGCAGGTGGCCGAGCGGCAAGGAACGTGTAGCGACGGACAAGACTGCATCACCTCGTAATGCGATTTTTGGGAAAATATAACGCGACTTCAGTTTAGATTGGACAAATTTGAGTGAACAAACACTGTAGAGGATTCCGGATTTATTTCCTGTCTGCATAGTGTCAATCAGGCCGGCCCTCTTTCAGTCCATCTGGACTTGTAAATGTTTGGGCTAGTTACACTGCACTATATACCCCTTTTAAGTTGAAAAACCTAAATTTTCTATAAATAGAATTGATCTCATGCCCTCGTAACCTTAATTATAAATCTCTGAAATTATCATAAATTTAGAAAAGTTGTGAAAAAAATTTTTTATCCTATCCATTGAGAATAGGAGATCGGGATTGTTACTAATTGATGCTACCAAAAATTGTACCTGTTGATTTCCCGAGGTTGAGGATTCTGAGTGAGCACGATCGTAGTCTTCCGGTACTTGAAATAAAGGCAACGAGATATGTCTCGTCGTCCCTCTGATGCTTAAATCAAAAAGGAAATTATATGTGTGAGGCTATAAACTGGAGAATAATGCAAACGTACCTGAATAATGGCTCAAGGTTCTGTATTTATAGAGATATATAGTGTACTCCTGGTAGGATTGTGTCAGTTGGATGTATTTATCCAATGGAGTCCTGTTTGTGAGGAATGTCCTACTCGTAATGGAACTGTTTGACTAGTGGCATAAGAGTTGATATAGAGTTTTTGAGCGCTTAGGTGTCCGTTCATTGGGCACATACATCTCAAAGATCTGTTAATGGACGATGACCCGAGGACATATTCTCGAGGACCATAGGAGGTGATTTCATATTCGTATGAGCAAGTCCTTGATGACCAAAATACCTCGAGGACATTTAGCAGAAAAGTGGGGCGGAGCATGTATGGAGTCCTCGAGGAAAATATCCTCGAGTATACAATATTGGTATCATCACTAGCCCCCGTGCACTCCTCCTAGAGACTGAGCTCTGGGATGAGGTGCACCTAAGTTACGAACACCTCACTTTAGGTAGCGTCGTCGAGAATTATTGGTTGTCGATAAGGTCGGTATTGATATGACCATTACAGAGATAGGGCTTGGATATGTGACACGTGTCTTCATGGACGGCCATAGATGGCGACCTTTGGCCTTCCGTCGTTTTCACCTATAAATACTGCTGTTCTCACTTTTCATTTTTCATTTTTACCCACTGTAAATCTAAATTCTGCGAGATCGTGCTCGAGAAAAATACTTTGGAACTTCTCAAGTCATCGGGTAACTCCAGGTAAGGCTCGAGACTCTAAGTTATTCCATAAGCTAGGTCTTAAGCTCATTAAGTAATGCCGAATAGTGAGGGTCGTGATTTATCCAGTAGTTCGAGTAGTAGCGAGGACGTAGGAACGTCGATAATACCGACGACTATTCCCCTAAAGGCTACACCCGAGGCTCAGGTTAATATGATCTTCAAGTATCCCGATGAACCATGTAGGCTAAAAGAGCACTCAGCTATTGCAGCAGCTAGGGAATATGGCATTATGCCTATTTGTCATGTTAGACTCCCTATCCTAGAGGATAGAATTGTTCGAGCTCGACGATGGGAGTTTGTCATTTTTAGGGAGACCCTTAAGGCTGGCTTTAGGTGGCCCCTTCACCCTTTTTTTATTGCTTTATTGGTTGAGCACTCCATGTGCCCGAGGCAATTAGTGCCCAATGCCTTGAGAATGCTCGTGTATTTTTTTATAGCTTGTAGGTACTTAGGTATCGAGCCCAACGTTGACCTTTGTAAATTGGTGTTTGAGCTTAAGAAGCATCCTCGGTATACTTGTTTTGGTTATCTCTCGACGATAGGAGGTTTTAAGGTCCTAAGGATGGCGAGTTCTCTTAAGGGGTGGAGAGATGGGTGGTTTTATGTAATAGCGCAAGAACCCGACCTTCCTTTCTGGCCCGATTGGGAGATCCCCGACGTCGAGAAGTTCTGTGAGGGCCAGGTGTATCCAGATGTGTTGAAAGAGCATAGGAGGATGCTGGTAGGGCTCAACCCTCTTTTCTCGACGATGAAGGAGATTGGAGAAGAGGTTATAGACCTAGCAGATATTAGAGGCATCGAAGGTAGGGATGTTCCCTTATTTTTGCAAAATAGCTTGATCTTGTGCTCGTTCTAAAGTGTTATAATCTCGCAGGTATGTCATTTGATCCCCGAGCCCTCCGTAATTTTGTCAGCACAAGGGCTGATGCCCGTCCACAGGGGCAACCTCCGACGAATAAGAAGAGAAAGAAAAGGCCTCGAGGAACCCCAATTGAGCAAAGTGTGAGGGGACCTAGCGAAACATTTCGAGCACGACCTCAAGCCTTGAGCCCGATGCAGCCGAGTCAGAGATCTCCTACTCCTCGAGTCGTTACTCCTGGACCTCCTTCTGAGGTAGTCGATCTCGAGAAGGACATTGTTCCTTTAGGGAATTCCCTGATCGAGGACTTCGAATGTTGCCACCTTGTTCCCGATCTTGTTAACAAATACTAGGAGGAGGTGAAGCTCGAGGACACGATGAAGGTTTTCGAGCTCCTTATTATGAAAGTAATCCTTGAACATTTGACTTCAACTTTTAGTTTCTTCTTCGAGATTAATACCTTAAAATTTTTCTTTTCAAACGTTGAGTGTAGCTCGAGGACTCCCTCTTCAAGGAATCAAGGAAGCCAAGAGAGCAACTTGGATAGAGACCTCAATGGCTTCTAAGGATAGGAGGATTCATGAGCTTGAGGCCGAGGTTGAGGCTTTGTTGAAAGAGCGTGATGACGCAAAGAGGGAGGCTGCTAAGGCCTGGGATGACCTCGCTGTTGAGAAGGATGAGGTCGAGGATGCGAGGCTCGAACTTATCCAAAAGACAAAGGATTTTGAGAGTAAACTCGTGAATGTCAAGGAGAAGGCCTGAGAGGAGTTTAAAACCTCCGAGGATTGAGACAAAATTAAGGGTGAGTACGCATCAGGGGCGTACTTCCATGCTCTTAAATTGGTGTTTGAGCTTAAGAAGCATCCTCGGTATACTTGTTTTGGTTATCTCTCGACGATAGGAGGTTTTAAGGTCCTAAGGATGGCGAGTTCTCTTAAGGGGTGGAGAGATGGGTGGTTTTATGTAATAGCGCAAGAACCCGACCTTCCTTTCTGGCCCGATTGGGAGATCCCCGACGCCGAGAAGTTCTGTGAGGGCCAGGTGTATCCAGATGTGTTGAAAGAGCATAGGAGGATGCTGGTAGGGCTCAACCCTCTTTTCTCGACGATGAAGGAGATTGGAGAAGAGGTTATAGACCTAGCAGATATTAGAGGCATCGAAGGTAGGGATGTTCCCTTATTTTTGCAAA